GCGTGAATGGGGAATGGCATTAAAGTCCGGACTGCGTGAATGGGGAATGGCATTAAAGTCCGGACTGCGTGAATGGGGAATGGCATTAAAGGCCGGATTGCGTGAATGGGGAATGGCATTAAAGTCCGGACTGCGTGAATGGGGAATGGCTTTAAAGTCCGGACTGCGTGAATGGGGAATGGCTTTAAAGGCCGGACTGCGTAAATGGGGACTGGCTTTAAAGGCCGGACTGCGTGAATGGGGAATGGCATTAAAGGCCGGACTGCGTGAATGGGGAATGGCTTTAAAGGCCGGACTGCGTGAATGGGGAATGGCATTAAAGGCCGGACTGCGTGAATGGGGAATAGCATTAAAGTCCGGACTTTGTGAATGGGGAATGGCTTTAAAGGCCGGAATGCGTGAATTGGGAATGGCATTAAAGGCCGGACTGCGTGAATGGGGAATGGCATTAAATGGCAGCTGCTGCTCCAGGATTCATCATCTTCAGGGCCTGCTGGTCTCATATAAAGTCACTGTGTATGAGTATAGCATCCAAATAGAGTAGTTTCAGAGGATTAAGGGCTGCTGGGATGGCGAGGACGTAGATATATCTAACATCAGACTTTGACGTCCCCTCGATGCCACCAAACATACAGACCAGACTGCTGCTGAAAACAGGGAGGACAGAACCCACCTGGCTTTCTGTTATCCTCCAGCTACTTTCAAAAAGCATGAGCAGCGCGTGGAGAATATTTCAAGCTCTGTGACACATACATGCACACACATCCATGTTTTGTGGCATCCTGAACTGTTTTCTGTTAGATTTTAGCAAGAACCCACTTAAGAGGATTAAATTCTCAAGCTGTGCTTCAGGGGCGTAGGACAGAAAGCAGCACCGTCCAAGACACCCCCTTACACATCGTACACACGGCTTCGTCAAGACAGTAGAAACCGGGATGGTAACAGCTTCATGCCGCAGTCCCCGACAGATGGGGAGGTTACGGCCAATCAGGTTGTTTTATTGGGGAAGACAAAGGCATTTGTTAAGATGTGTCCATTGCTTGGGATGTCACCAGAGTCTTGCCCCAGATGAACACATTTTTTTTAATGATGAGCCAGAGCAGTGTGGCTGGGAAGGCACGGCTGCGTGACATCGGAGGGACACTAAATGGATTCCCTTCTGCTGGGGCGTGAACATTGATATTATCCATATGACTTCAAGTTCTTGTTGGATGGCTTGAAGAAGATTCCAAACCTCTTTAAATCAGGGGCACCCCAGCCATTCTAAGAATTTGTTCATTTTTGCCACTTAATTAAAGAACTTAATTAGTTAATTAACTTGATGAGGTATTGATTAGCCAAGCAAGGTGAGATAGTGGTCCAGGTCACCAGATACATGTGTATATTCAAAGATTACTGCAAATACTGGTGTGAATTTAGGAGAAATATGATAATTGACCAACATGAATATCATTCAGACATTATTGTCTTTGGCTGCCTAAGACTTTTGCACAGTGCTGTATATGGGAAAAAATAATGCCGCTGTTTGATTCATTTTCTGTCGTTGTGCATGTATAGTTATATATATATATATATATATATTATTTTTTTTAAGTCACAGAAATTAAAACTGGTGTCTATGGTGCAGCACCAGCTGACACAAAGATGGGTAAAATCTAGGGTAAAAACAATGGGTGTCATGTTTGGTTTTGCAAACCTACACAACCGTATTTTTATGTCGATGTGAGGCAGTTCATTTAGAAGAAGAGAAAAATGACATTTTAATTCATTAAAAGTAAAAAAAGCAATAAAAAGTATAATGCAATTAGAAGATACAAATGTAAGCAGTTTGCTCAGTATGTGGTGGACAGCTGTTGTGATTATCCTCTATGAAAAAGGACAGAAGTGGATTAATAGTTTATGCAGAGGCACAGAATACATCGCCGTTATTTTGGTTCACTTTCCCACTGGGGTGCTGTTATTGCTCGATGCAGGATTCCTGTTGAGCGATGAATGTTCTGCAGATTGAAACAAGAGGGAGCAGATGACGCAGGCGGCCAACACACATGGCTTTGGCCTCTTCCTCCAGTGGCATTTTGTAAGGTGGCTGACATTCGTTTCCAGGAATAGCTCTTGTGAGCATCGGCTTGTGAAGTGGTAGCTGGCAGTTAGGGTCCAGTATAACTGGCAAGAGTGGTATCATGGTAGAGCTACACCACGAGCTGTGAGTTCAGTGCAAACATTATTTTTAGTGGCTGTTCATAAACAGCCCAGAGTTCTTTTTGGTCTCACCCACGTCTTTCGAAACGCTCCACCGTTTCCCTATTTCCTCTCGTTCTTTTTTTGGTCTGGCCTTCGTCTTTATCCCCCAGTGAAACTGAACGATTTGGAGACTTGATTGGACCGCATTCTTTAGCTTCTTTCATTAATGCTCCCTGCCAGTCCTGGTGCAGGGATGAACAATAGTGAGCCCCTGAAAAGATCAATACCAGATTGCTGATAGCGGCCCATCCATTCGCTCACTGGATCACATGATAAATAGCACCACACGTATGTTTTGACACCTTGCAGCTATACAGGCTTGACAAAAACCTGCGGCCTTCGTAGATTCACTATCACGAGATTCTGGGCTGCTGATAAAATTATATTTCTCGTCTTGCATTTTGGTTGAATAATTACTTTGATCAGGGACCTCGGAACACATCTGAACACGGAGGGGAATAAAGTCATGTCCACTCTTCTCTTTGCTTTTCAATATCTTTTGTTCTAAATTGTTGGGTCCTGCTAAAGATGACGTGTCTAAAAATTACATTGATTGGTGAATATCAAACTGCAACACTAAACATATTCTTTGCCTCAAAAAAAGGATATAATTAAAGCTTTTATCAATATAGTTTTATCAGTTTAGAATTTATTTACGTTTAGTTTTTTTTTTTAAATAATTGTTAATCACTGCATTTTTAATGATGCTTCTGGGTGTCTGTCCCATTTTGTGGATCCATTATTTATATCATTTGTTATTGAGGGAATTGAGCGGGTGTGTGTGTGTGTGTGTGTGTGTGTGTGTGTGTTTGTGTTGCGGGGGGAGGTGTGGAGGAGTTCCAAGATGTGGGCCTTTTGTGGTTTAGGTTCTGTGGAGGTTACTTTTGACTTTCTAACTGCTGCAGTACACTGTCAGCATGGATCGGTGTGTAACTCTTTTTTTTCAGGCCACAGAGAGACGCTCCGAGTTGAAAAGGAAAAGCCCAGCACACCGTGAGCACAGTCAGCTTGCATACATGAATGCCTCATTAGCCGAATTCTGTCCCAGAAGCCACAGCAGCCTAGCAACAAGCATCTCTCAGATTACCGCTAAGGAAATCAACGTGCACGTTAACGCGATGAATAAAAAATATAAAACAAATTAATAAAATATTATAGCCAACCCACAGCCCTTATTTCCCAAGACCTTCACGTGGAAGTGATTTCATAATTCTCATTGTGTCCTGTTATCAGGTTATAATGTGGGGCCACCATGGTAAACCCCAGGTATCTCAATCAAAGCAGACTAGTTACTGCAATTAAGCCAGCTAGTTAACTTTAGTGCTAATATTCATGCGTTTGTGTGAGAAGGCAGGTGTGTGGCTCTGTGAGTTAGAACTCTTTTGCCCATGATTGGCACCCGTATGCCCTTGATTGACACCCGTCTTGACCCCATGATCTGCAGAGTAATTTCACTGAACCCCAGTTGTTCCAGTGACTGTCTGACCTTGCTTTCCCAATTTTGCGTAGTGTAAGCTAAATAAATATAAATATGTTCTTCTTCACTTTACATTGTTTGGATAAAATGAGATTAAAAAGGCTAAAGATCTTTTTTTTTTTAACAAACGGACAGAATTGTTTTTGTGGGACAATGATTAGCTGTAAGAGTAACAAGCCTCAGTACTGGTGTGTGCAGCACACACTGAAGCTCCACCGCAGCCTGGATCCACCACCCATTCTTCATATTAAAGTGACCAGGCCAGTTATTAGTTTAAAAGGCGAACCAGCTCCTCCTTCAGCTTCTGAATTCGCCTCATCAGATCATCTGGCGAGTGCAAGAAAGATGATTTATTGGGTTTGAGAATGATTTTTAATAATAAATATGTTCTCTGCTCAGGCTATTTGGAGTGTTATTGAAAGCATTGTTTAGAGACTGTATACCATTGGCTCCCAGAGAGATGCTCCCACCTGACACATTGGAAGCTTCTAGTTTCTAATTGGTCAAAAATACCAAATTATGCAAATTCAGGGTAGGTGTGTGTCTGTTTAGTGATAATCTTTGTTATATTGTGGTATTTGAAAATCATATTATAATAGCTTTCTTGAATTATATTAACGCTATATATCTTGTATGATAATATTTTGTAGCACTCTTAACAAAATAAGTGAATTCTGAGGCCTTCTGGGAATATTAAAGTAATATAGCTAATTGTAATTATGCTGGAGTTCCCACCCAGTTTCCCGTTGATCAAAACTTATGAATTAACGGTAATGAGTCTTTCTGGCGTAGCTATTAATCTGTACTTTTTTTCAAGCCCATTAAAGCTCATTCAAAGAGTACAAGGCACCTGTGTTGGCTCAATTTACCAACACTCAGATGACCGGGAAAAATTTGAAATTATAATTCTCTAGAGGAATGCACTGGAAATACACATCTTAAACACTGTAAACGCTGTCACTGTGTCACCACGCGAATCCATTTGCTCGTTTACAGTGTGAAAAGCACCCCCAGCTTGCTTTATATCTGAATACAGATTAACACACTTCATATTCTGCTACCTGCAGCTCTCATATATTAGCAAAATTCTGTCCCCTGGGTTGGACATTTCTACATTCCGGATATCGAAAGAGTTTCACATATTATTTTTTTTTATTATATTAAAATCTAGCACCCGCTGCTTTCAGTGTCAGACCTTTCTCATCTACCCCCAAACCCCCCCGTCCCCCGCCCCCCACCCCGGTGCTGCTTTCCAGAAGACAACAGAAATGCCCAGTCTTACCTGTGTACTCCCCGATGTGTCCGAGGCGCCTGTATGAGAGGAGGAGCAGTCACATCTCCTGTCAGAAACACTCCGAGAAAGACAGGGGCGGTATGACCAGTGGGCCCGGTGAGCTGGAGGGGTCAGCTTTCCGGGGGGGGAGGGGGAGACAGTGGTGTGGCAGTGATGTCCTGGTGACAACCTGTCAGACCTCTCAAGAGCGCCACACCGCACTGTCATTACGCGTGACGGCAGCAGCAGGAGAGCCCGGGAAATAGTGCAGGCGATTCCCGAACTTCACGCAACATTTCACTGCACCTCCGCTCTGTTTTCAAATAAAAAACATATATGTGTGTTTTGTGATGACTTCTGCCAATCCAGGACCACTCACAGTGTATAATGTAGCGCATTAATAGGAAGTATTTCCATCCAAAGCTTTATGACGTTACCGAAGATTCCAAACTCGCTTGTTCAGAGAGGTCTTTTGCCTTATTATGGGCTGGAGTCTGAGATGACAATAGACTCAGGCTCAGGAAGTGAAAAGGAAAAAGTCTGTATCGATCTGTTTTTAAAGATCTGTGTCTGGGTAAGACTAGGAACAATCTGAGAGAACATTTTAAATAAGGTGAGTCTCAGATGCCAAAATCCTATCATGGACAACAAGCAAACTTCGGCCAAATTCCCCTTTTCTGAATTTCCTTTGTTGATTTTTCACCCTGTCTGTCCTTTCCTTCAGCAGTGCAATTTTCACTGTGCTCGTAACCAAAGGCATTTAAAAGTACGATACAGCATGTCCTGACACGTTAAACCTCCTTATTTAGCTGGATGATGAAGGAGAAAAAATAGAATTTGTTCTCTGCAGTTAAATCAAATAGCTTGGGGATGTAAAAGTACTTTCCCCCACCCCCATTTTCTGTGTCAAGGACCTGGGATCCATTGTCCAGTTCCGTAAGCTTCTCATCAGCGGCCTTTGGAGGGAGACAACAATCTGGAAGATTGCTCTGAGGACAATGACTCGTGCCCCCTGGGTGCACAATCAGGGGAGACTCCACTGGAAAAGTCACACCTCAACCTATTTGCTGTTTATATCTGCAAGTCCAACTTCTCAGACATACTATGAAGACAAATAAGAGAATAAATAAAGCAGCTGAAAGAGAAGGAAGTCCATTTTGAAAGCCACACTAAACTCAAATGTGGTAGCTGTGTTTTCCCATCATTGGCTGGTGCAGCATTTAGCAGTGGCGAGTGCTGACTGCGTAAGTTTGGTTTGCTGTGTAAATTAAAATGAGTGATCGGAATTTAGAATAAATGCTGATAAAATCAATGTTTTTTTTTTATTGAAATGCTTGAAAATCTTCAGTAATAATACAGTTAATGTCCCTACTACTACAACAACTAATAATAATAATAATAATAATGTGAGCATAGTCATAGAGGACCAGCAGTAAATAATTTATAAGATTTGCCCTAGGCAGGTATTAGCTTGGATCTGAAAATAAAGAGAGAGAGAGAGAGAGAGACAGATATTGGAGGAGCTAGAATATGATTCCAATCCTCCTTGCTGATCAATACTGGAGACCTAAGACTCTGATTGGCATCCATCAATCCGGGGTGACTGTGTGGCTGACAGCCGATATCCTCTCACTCCAGCGCCCCCCCCTGCCCCCCTCCTGAGAAGGTGGAGGCGGCCGGCCTTGACAGCAGCCGCGGCGTGTCGTGCCCGTCTGCGACTCGCTGTCTGTCAGGCCCAGTCCCAGCAGTGGGACAGGTGTGCTGACAGTGGGATCCACCGGAGCGGTGGCAGGGAGACGGCGACTGACTGCAGGACGCATAAAGTAAACAGCCGCGTGTGGGAACAACAGAGGCGCTTGGGGGGAGAGTTTTAAACTCCTCACACTCAGGAACATGCTATCACTTACACCATCAGCAAATAACAAACGCCCACAAAGTACGGCTCGGCGTGGCCTACAATGTGCACCCCAGAATAACCGCAACAATGTAGCTGCTAACTGCTAACTAATCAATGAGTAAAGAGGAATCAGACTCATACTAGACTGAAAGTCTGAGACACATATTAAAGAAACCTGCTAACTGCTAACTAAACAATGAGTAAAGAGGAATCAGACTCACGCTAGATTCAAAGTCTAGCACACATATTTAAAAAAACTCATATATGGTTTTTTTATAGACCGAGGAGGGCGACTCCGCCACTCTGTTTCGGAAAAACTCTGTAATTAATCCATCTCCATTCTCCATTCAAATAGGTGACTTCGCTTGAAAGCTAAGATACGGCTTTTCTTGATAGATTTTTATCCATCATTGTCTGTGTGGCAAGAATCTGTTTTCCATATTCACCCCTATAATGATGAAATAATGTTAGATTTCATGTAAATCATTTCATGTTTCCTTTCAACACTGTCATAAATTTTACACAGGTGTGCCTTCACAGCCCCTCTTTTCAATCAAGAAGCTGCCACCAGTTTCTGAGGAACCTACATTTTTATGCTAAAACCCAATTGAAATTACCTTTGTGGTGAGTGATGTAAAGGCCGTTTAGGTGGAAGAGGAGAGAAGTGAGGTAGGTTGCAGTGTAGAAACGTAAAAACAGTTTATTTCCCCAGGTTGTTTCATCATTCAGGCTTCACGGAACAGCAGATAATGAGTTCCTTGTCTTTCGGATGCACAGATCACAAGCAGATAAATTCTCCTCTTCTGGTGGTGCTCGATGGTCTCAGTCCTTCGTATCCATCCTGATTGGAATTCACAGCGGTACCATTTGTGCCACCGTATACAAAATTTGGTAACACTTAACTTAAGGCTATGTTTTTAGTAATTTATATATATATATATATATATATATATATATATATATATATATATATATATAAAAGCTCTCATCTATAATGCATTATAGATACCTTCATAATGCATTATAATGGTCGGTATAAGAATTAAGGATGCATTATACTGCATTATGAAGGTGTCTGTAAATGACAAAAACATGGCCTTAAGTAAAGTGTGACCCAAGATTTTGCAGTTTGTTTAATCCATGGAGAGCAGTGGACACTGTTTAGTCCCAATCACTTAGGGCCATCAAAGAAATGATTGAAAATTTACGGACAGCACCGTACAAATTGTCTCTGTAGGTAGGGAGGGAAAGTGAATTCTGCACTCTATAGAAAGATGGGGTCACCGGCAAGCAAATTGACTGATCAATGTTTGCAGGTTGCTGGCAGGCAGAGCCAAGGACACCTAAGAGGGGCCCTTAGAGCCAAGCCCAGCTCTAATGAGCTACAGCCATCTGCAGCCCGATAGCAAAGAGGCAGGCGACCCCGGTGTACTGGCCCCCAGTAGCGTGGCAATGAGCCACAGTAACAGTCCAGGAGCTGGGAGACGACTGTCGCTTGGTTGGTGAAGTTTACCAAAAGTAACTTTTATCTTACGTTTGCTTGGTCACAATCTAAAACACTTCCAAATATACGTAATTATACTGTATTTATGTTAATTGTTTTAGTTTTAAGTGCTTAATGAATGCTTTTATCTAATTTTATATATTTATATAGTATAATAATATTTTATTTATATATTAATAGAAAGTGTCAGTAAACCATGTATTAAATGGATTAATTGTATTATAGAGAAATGCAGTAATTAGCTGAAATAAAACTTTTAAATGAGGCCTTCACTTACGAGGAAGGTTTGATTGATTTGACTGTTGAGCTTCACACACCACTGCAGGTAGTGGGTGATGACTCCTCAGACGGAGCGATCACATGACTCCTCAGACGGAGCGATCACATGACTCCTCAGACGGAGCGATCACATGACTCCTCACAGTCACCGCCACGTCTCTCTGACCTTAAGCTTTCAAAAACACATCACGCTTAATCAAGCTTTACTGTCATTAAATGTTGTGGAAATTCAGCTATAATTGCTGTCAGCGACTGCTGTAGTGTCTCTTTTTTTATCTAATAAGCGGAAAAGAAAATATCTTGATTTTCAAAAGTATGCAGGTTCTATTTCTTATATCCTTAGACATTTCCTAGTTGTCTCTTTAAAGCAAAAAAGAAATCTCTAATATCAATCAGACATTAAATCTGAATATTTAATTGTACAGAAAAGGGTGGTAGTTGGATGAGGTACGAAGTAAAAATCAGTAATTCTGTATTGACTCTGCGGAGACAATATCTCTGCACGCTTTTTTTTCTTAAGTAGCTGAATAAAAGTGCATTTTTGGTGTTATGGACCTAGGGAGGTTTCTGCATGCACGTCTTCATCGACGTGTCGTCCTGAATTATTTGGGTCCTGTCTCAATCAGCAGCTGCTGTAATAAAGCCAGTGGCCTCGGGACGGTGGGACAGCGCACATCTGTGCTGGTATTACAGGAGCGGCTGCCACGTCCCCCATGGAGGGCAATTAGGGGGGGGCACCGGTGACTGGCAGGGCCGGACGGAGCGCTGCGTCGCAGTCTGCCAGTGCCAGGCGCTACATAATCACCCCCTGGATCCTGGGAGGAAACGCTTCACAATTGTGCCAGGTTTTGGGATTGACAATGGCGGGAAAATTCTATCTTTAAGAGTCAGATATGAGGGGGGGGGGGAACACTGGTAAACAGTCTGTACAGTGTGTGTGTGGCTATTAAATCATTTGTTTATAACTGACATATAACTGTCATGATTGCATTACTGCAATCATGACATTGTTATTACAGCTATCTTAAACAAATTATGAATCGCTTTGGGGGAAAAAAACAAAACTGACTTTAGAGAACAGAAATGAACTGGAAAATAAAACAAAAAGATCCAGGGTTCAGGCGCAGGGCAGAGTATATCTTAACTTAATACAGTGGAGCTTGCCGTGTTTTACACTTATTCATATTATATGTGTCTTATCGTGTTATACAATAGACTACCATTTCTTGACCAGTGCTATCTTCTCAGAGCTCGCAGTGTTATGCCCCCTGGGCTAAGCTCAATGTGATATTCAGCAAATCGAACGCATTTGTTTATATAGCCTGCCTTTGATTCGGCCCAGCTGACCCCGGTGTTTGTGCCGTACGTGCCCTGCGCACAGACCTCGGCGTGAACCCT